GGTCTTTTTGAGTGCTGGGATTAAAGATGTGCGCCACCACAAAACAAAAAAAGAAAGACAATATGCACTTTCAACTACTGAGCCATCTCTCCAACCCGAGATTTATTTTTGGGTATGTGTCTGCGTCTGCGTATAGCAAACGCGTGCAGGTGCCTCCAACTGTGCTTGGTGCCTCCAGAGGCAAGAAAAATGTTACCTACCAGATCCCTAGTAGCTGGAATCACAGGTGGTTGTTAGCTGCCTGACCTGGAAGCTGGGAACCAAACTCTGGTCCTCTGGAAGGGCAAGTGCAAGCCCTTAAGTGTGAGCCATCTCTCCAGCCCTAAATTATTTGCTGTCTGAATTTATTAATTTATTTGTTCATTCCAAAAGCAGGGATTGAACCTCGCACATAGTGGTCAAGTGCCTTACCACTGGGCTATATCCCCCAGGAGTCAGACTTTCTTGAAGTCCAAAACAATGTCCCAAATACTCATTTCTCTACTTCACTAAATAGAGGGAAAATGAAGTGAATGTTGTCTAAAGTAAAAACAAAAAAATTCACAGAGGGCTAGGGAGATAGATAAGCAGGTAAGAGCACTTGCTCTACAAGCATGAAGACCTGAGTTCAAATCTCCAGCATCCACATAGAAAGCTAGGCATGTCCCATTTATGGGTGAGCCCTTTGCTGACACTTATTCTCTGCACTTTGACCAGTTGTGAGTTTCTGCATTAACCAGAGAACTTCTCTGATGAAGTCTGAGAGCTGCAGTAATCTATGGGGGTGGGGTAAAGAGACTGGAATTTACAGTGAAGTTTGATACCAGGTCCATTTAGCAAAATAATAGTAGTAGGTTCACTGCTGGGGCCTGTCAGCTCCCCAGCCTTGGCTTCTTGGCCAGTTTTATAGTACCAGGCATGTGTTTCCTCCTGTGCAGTGGGCTTAAAATCCAATCAGAACATAATTACTCTATTAACATTTGTGTCACTATTGCACCCATGTGCATACCTTGCCACACCAGTCATTATTGCAGTTCACAGGGTTCACAGCTAGGTGACTATTGATGACATTTTCCCCCTAGCAGCGTGTCTAGCACCTTCCAGTACAATGGGAGCTACTAGCCAGCAAGGAAGTTTCCTGGTCACTACCAATTTGACTTCTCCATGTCCTACAACCAATGTGTGAGATGTCTTCAGCAACAGGGTCTTACCACCAAGTACTGCTAGACAGCCAAGAGCAATTGCAATAGCCTCTACTGTTACAAGGATTTCTGGGACATCTCTGACCAACAACTCAAAGGAAGGCATCTCACATTTGGCACCGGGCTTTTTATTTGGCAACCAACAGCTTCTGGGACAAGCATTAGTGCCCTGGGTAGGGTAATTTCCAATTAAACTGGTGGTGGTGGTGGTGGTGGTGGTGGTGGTGGTGGTGGTGTGTGTGTGTGTGTGTTTAGAGCTTATATTAGCTTATAATAGGTTTGCATATGGCTTTTTCAAACACCCTTAATTATCCCTTCCCCATCCCTCTTTTGCCCTATTCTCCTATCCTACTCCCACTTAAAACCTCCCTCCCCATTATTCCCCCCTTTCCCTTCATATTGCTGTTTTCTATCCTTCCTCCCTTAAGAATTTTCTTCCCCTCCCAAACAGTGGTCCTGTGCTAGTTAGTTTTTGCCAACTTGACATAAACTAGACACACCTGGGGAGAGGGAACTTCAACTGAAGAATTTCCTCCATCATATTGGCCTGTGGCCATGCCTGTGAGGGATTTTATCTGTAATTGATGCAGGAGGTCCCAGACCACTGTGGGTGGTACCCTCCGTACACAGTTGGGGCTGGACTGTATAAGTAGCTGGGCAAGGCAGGGGAAACAAGACAGTAAATGCCATTCTTCCATGGTCTCTGCTTCAGTTCCTGACTCCAGGTTCCTCTCTTGAGTTCCTGCCCTGATTTCCCTCAGTGATAGATTGTAGCCTGGGAGTCGTAACATGAAATAAATCCTTTCCTCCCCAAATTGGTTTTGGTCAGTGTTTTATCTCAGCAACAGAGAAACCAAACTAGGACAGGTCCCTTTCTAGCTTCCTGGGTTCTGCAAATACTCCAAATTTAACACAGAAACCTAAAGACTCAACGCTAAAACCCACATATGACTAAGAACATGTAGCGTTTGTCTTTCTGTGTCTGGGTTATGTCACTCAGTATGTTTTCCAGATCTAACCAGTTATCTAAAATTTCATAATTTCATTTTTTTTACATCTAAATAAAATTCCATTGTATATAGGTGCCACATTCCATTATCCATTCAATTCATAGACACCTAGGCTGTTTCCATATCCTAGCTATTGTGAATAGAGTAGGTATGAATATTGATGAGAACAGTAGGAAATAAGAGTCCTTTGGGTATATATGCCTAGGAGTGGAACACTTGGGTCATGAGATAGATTTATTTCCAGTTTTCTGAGGAACCACCACTCTGATTTCCACAGTGGCTGCACCAATTTGCACTCCCACCAACAGTGCATGAAGGCTCCCTGTTCCCCACATCCTCACCAGTATTGTCTTCTGTTTTCTTAATATTAGCTATTCTGACTGGAATAAGATGAAATCTTTATGTAGTTTTGTAGTTTGTATTTACCTAACAGCTAAGAATAGTGAACACCTCTTCCCAAGGTTTAGGGACCATTGTGGAAGAGGGGGCAGAAGGACTGCAAGAGCCAGAGGTCAGAGAGGGCTGGAATAAAACTGCTTAACAGGACCACTGCACTCAAACTCACAACGGCTGTGGTTGTCTGCATAAGAACTGCACAAGAGCAAGCCAGCCACAGAATGGAAAAGGATTCATGAGCCCCTGACCTCTCAGGAGCTATGGACAATTAATGGCTTCTACGGGAGGGAGGGTCAGTTTTCTTTAAGGGTAGCTCCTGGTAGGGCAAACACATTCCACTGGATGGACCAACACCCAGAAGTATATGAACAACACACAATGGAATTGATTATTAATTAAAATAAATACAAATAACATTTTAAAAGAGGACACGAAGTTGGGGTGTAGGGGTGGATCATAATTACTCACCACCTGCCAAGATGGAAGAGTCTTAGACTTGTACTACAAAATGTTTGCTTCCTTCCCTCTCCTTTTCAGGGCCACACATAAACCATAGTTGTCCTAGATTGCATCTCTAGTGCTGTGATAAACACTGTGACCAAAACCAACTTGAGGAGAAAAGGGTTTATTTCAGCTTACAGTACAGTCCTTCATCCAGGGAAGCCAGGGCAGGAGCTCAAGCAGGAACCTGGAGGCAGCAGCAGCTGAAGCAGAGACCATGAACACTGCTTACTGCCTTGCTCCCTGGCCTGTGCACAGCCTGCTTTCTTATACAACCAGGGACCACCTGTCCAGGGATGGTACTGCCTACAGTTGGCTGGGCTCTCCCACATCACTCAATAAAGAAAATGCTCCACAGACTTGGCCACAGGCTAACCCAATGGAGGCACTTCCTCAGCTGAGGTTCCCTCAGCCCAGGTATGTCAAGTTGACAACCAAAGCTATCCAGCACAATAGTCTTGACAATTTCCCAGATTCCTCCTGCCTCCTCTTCATTCTAATTCATAGAAATTTCAGGCCCACGAAAATTTCCTACATAGCTAATCAAGGATCAAAATAACATACAAGGGTAATCTAAGTATACACAGTATTAAAGCTCTTGTCCTTGCTTTTTCAGGGTCAAAATTCAATCTTAATTCAGCAGGGGTAATCAAAGATTCTGCAAACTATTTCCTAGCAGATACAAAAGAAACTGATTAAGAAGAAAGCTAAGGCAGGTCCGAAGAGCTGGCTCAGCACATAAAAGTGCTTGTCACACAAGCCTGACAACCCAGATTCCTGGAATCCTTAGAACCCATGTACAAGAGAACTGACTCCCAGAAAAGTGGGCCTCTGACCTCCACGTGCACACTGCGGCACTTGTGATGAAGGAACTGCTAAGCAGACCAGATACGTAATAGAGCTGACGACTTGCCATCTTACCAATAGCGGTAACTTGAAAAGTGAACTAAGCCCTGAAGGAAGCCTGTATGTTTGGAACATAAAAAAAAAACATGCTGACTAGCAAAACAGTACAAAACAGTCAAATGTCCAATCATAAACAAAAAAAAATCTGCCCATTATTAATGCAGCTTTGAAAAGGAAATTACTGGTAATATGCTACAACATGAACCTTGAAATCACACTAGGTTACAGACGCTAGACACAAAAGGCCACTCTTGTATAATTTCACTTAAAATGAATGAAATACCCAAATTAAGTGTGATAGGGAATCTTCATTGCCAACTTAGGAGACACACCTCTGGGTGTACCTGAGAGGAAAACTCCAGAGAGGCATGGGCTAGAATCCCAAACTGAATAAACAGCAAAAATGAGAAAAGTTGAGCACTAGCATTCATCTGTTTCCTGACCTGAGTACACAATATGAGCACATAAAATGCTACATGCCCTCCATATCATGATGGACGGTACCCCTCAACTGTAAAAATAAGGGGGAAACAATGCAGTAAGTAAAGTGCTTGCTGCACAAACATGGAAGACCTGAGTTCAAATCCCCAGCACCCACAATCCCTAGCCCTAGCACGGAAGAGACAGGTAGAGATCCCAGGGGTTCTCTGGCCAGCCAAGCCAGTCTAGTCAAAACTAGCAAGCTCTAGGTACAGTGAGAGCAAAGTGTAAAGTGATAGAGGAAGACATTCAAACTGACCACTGGTCTCCACACCCCACCCCCATACATACAAAAGAAAATAAACATTCTTATCTTCCTTAAGGTGCTTCTGTCAGGCAATTTGTTACAGCAATAAGAAAAGTCACTAATAGGTGACTCCATAAAAACAGAAAGCCTATTTGTGGTTGCCAGGGATGAGCAAGTGTAAAGAAGGGGGAGTCACTGCTTTATTTGGGGATGATGTAAATGATTTAGAACCACATGAATGTGGTGTTAGTCCAACACTGAATAAACCGAATGCCACTGAACTGTTTAAAATGATTCATTTTGTTTCATATGAATTTCATCTCAATACAAATAAATAAATTACAAAGGAAAAATACAGAGAATCATATAATCCCCCCCCAAAGTCAAACACAGTATGAAGGGAACTATATGTAGCTGAGTGGTAGAACACTTGCCTCACATGTGCAAGGACCTGGTTTCTACCACTGGCATGGTAAAAACAAAATCAGAACAAAAGCACATTCAAAAACCATTTTCAAAGGAACTGGGGAGGAAATTGGCTGAATCCTATCACATGCACATTAAGCTATCTAGATCCCATGATGGGCCCTTCTTTATGGTTCTACCTGTCATGTGCAAAGGCCCTACAGTGTTGGGTTCTAAACACTGCCATAAAGACCTCTACCATTTTTTTTTGCTATTTCGTCTTTCCTGAAAAGTTCATCTTAAATATGTGTATGAGTTTAATAAACCAAAATTTAGGACACACCTCTGGGTCAGTACCCAGTATTTTTCTAGAGACAACAGAGCATGTTTTTGAAAAAAGGCATGTGGCTATTGAAATTATAGCCTTCTCAACAACTCTACTGTGCAAAGGATTGGAAGAATTCAGCCCCAGAAATTTCATATATAGCAATAAAAAGAAAATTTGATACTTGTATGACAAAATTCATTTTCAAAAAACTGGGCAGCTGGAACAGACTTCAATAATGCTTATGGTCACTGGAATGAAAGGACTCCCACTCCCAAGAGGACCTCTGCTTTTTATGCCTATGGAACTTATCCAGACTCCTACTTCTACTTCTATGACTCCGCCCTTCTGAATGCCCACTGTGCCTGCTGGAATGTTTGCCTGAGCTTCGGCCCCTATCCCTCTCCCTGTTCTTGTCCTCTCTTGCCTCCCTCCTGCTTGAGGACTTGTGCTCATGCTTGGGTTTCTCATTCTTTGGCTCCCTCTCAGGGTTCTCGGCTCCACCATGGTAGGAAGTCCTGACTTCAGGGGAGCCTGGGTAGTTCTTCCTCCCCTCTCTGGACCCGGACTTCTGCGCTCTCTCCAAGTTCTTGCTGCTGTGCTTCTTAGGGCCAGAGTCATCCTTTTCCTTTACTGGCTTGCTTCTAGGGGACAAAGAGGAAGGCGGCTGCTCTGCTTGTACCTCCCGATCAGTCTTCTCTTTTTCTTTCTTTCTTTTCTTTTTTTCCTTTTTGTCTAGATGTGAGGGGGTGGGCAATCAATAGGAAAACACAAAGAAATACCTTTAAAAGGTGCCTTTGTTTTCTGTGCATATCATATCAAATTGAAATGTTATCATTCAGAAATGTTCCTACGCTAACAGATGTGCATATGAAAAAAAATCCGTGGCAGCAGCATGAAGCAGTCACAGGTTATACTTCCTGGAAAAGTATCTTCAAGGACAGAATTGGACACACGTCACTCCTGATATGTCAAGTTGTACAAAACAACCCCATAAAGAATTAGATCTTTAGAGCTGGGTGTGGTGGTGCACACCTTTAATCCCAGCACTCAGGAGGCAGAGGCAGGTGGATCTCTGTGAGTTCAAGGCCAACTTGGTCTACATAGTGAGTTCCAGGTCAGCTGAGGCTACAGGGAGACCCTGTTTCAAAAGGACCAAAAAATAAGAGAAAGAAAAAAAAAGTTCCTATCTCCAAATACAATCCCATTCTGAGATATTGGGGGTTAGGACTGCAAGTAATCAATCTGAGGAAACAATGCTAGCCTTCCTTCCTGAGATACTTCTACTTTCTCCATTAAAATAAGGATTCCCATACCTTTCCCTTTTACACCTAAAAGTGGAAGCTGGATTATCAACTGTTCATGCACACTAGAAAAAGCAGACACTAAGACTCCCCCGAATCTTCTCCTGAGTCTTAATACTTCACCTTTTTTGTGCTTTTTTATGGATTTGACATCTTCAGAGTCCTCAGGTGAACTTGATGAAGGTGTATTAGCCCCACAGCCCTTCTCCTGGAGCTCTCTGGTCACATCATCCATGTCTTCTGATTCCTGAGGTGCCCGATAGTTAGACACATGATCCACACGGATAGTTCTTCCCTTGATCTAAACAAGACAGGCAATGGTTCAGCAAAGACAGTCCCCATATCAAACTACTGAAACAAACTACAGAGAACCAAGGTCAGAACCACATCCATTACCTTGTATCAAAAAAACCACTAAAAGAAGATACGTTTAATTTGTATGTGACAGCACATCTATCTAGTTTTAGCACTCAGGAGAGCTAAAGGGGGCCTGTGGCAGGTGAAACTTCTGGGACAATTGTACCAAGAGCCCCCTTGGTTTACCAAAGGCTGCCATGTTCTCTATGTGTCACTGAGTTATGAAAAAGGCTCAGAAGTATTGCCCAAAATCACCTCAAAGAAGACTATGAGAATGTAGTGTTTAAGGCACACTATCTATAGGGCAGGGGATACAGCACAATTGGTAAAGTGCTTGCTTGTCTTATAAGGAAGACGACCTGAGGTTGAGCCCTAGAACTCACATTAAAAAAAAATCTGGGCGTGGTAACACACACTTCTAATTCCAGCACTGGGGAGACTGAGAAAGGAACACTGCTGGAGCTCCCTGCCAACCAGCCTAGCCCGTTTGGCAAGTTCCAGGCAAGTGAGAGACCCTTTCTCCTAAACTTTCTCCTAAAAAAAATGATACCTGACCTGAGGTTGTTCTCTGGCC